CTTAATTTGTTTCCTTTTTCCATTTATGTGTGAAGAAAATCTGAAAAATAAATAACAAATAAAAAATAAATTAACATGCCACAATCTCTGTGTGTATCAAAAATATATGTTTCTATCATATGAAATATCACATACAAATATTCGAAAATTAAATTTCTAAAACTTGAGTGATAATTAAATTATTCAATCTTTTTCTTCAAATAACAAATTTTCTCTTGCAATCAGATTTTCCTAAACAAACTCTCATTTCTTTCAAAATTATGTAAATATATTTATTAAAAGTCTTGCAAGAGAATAAACCAATAAATTTAGACTTTTGCAAACATTGATACGGATTAGTGTCACAATTAAAAAGGGTTCAAGTCTATCATGCTTGCTCTCATCAAATAACCATAATTGGCTGCCGAGAAGAGAACAGGAACGCACAAGGACATTAATCATTTGTTGAGTAAACTTTTAAATTATCCCAAGAGAAAATAATTTTGTTGAGTTGAACAATTTTTTTTTCGGTAATTGAATGAAACTTGAAATAATTGAGTTGTTCTGTTCGCTTCGCACAAAAACAAATTGCAAATCATTTGCAAGCTGACCGCACAAAACAAGCCATGGCATATGAACCCGCTTTAAAGGGCATTACAATTACCAATGTAATTAATAATGAAAAGTTTTGAAGAAGCGAGTAACCTTAAAATTGTGTGGAGAATTCAAAGTTTCGTTGAAGCTCGTGCTTAATTTTATGCTAATAATGATGTTATTGATTTCAATGCTGATCATTATTCAATTAGTTGAAAAGTTGAAAAAGGGGTTAATTATTTGATTTTAAATGGATGCAAAGAAATGGGAATAATTAAATTAAATTTCGAAATTTAATTGAAATTATTGTAGGGGTCAAAGGACGATTTCGGGGCATTCGTTGTAATGAGACAACGCGTGGCTAAAAATGAAATGATGTTTAATAAATTAAATTCAAAATTTTTCAACCCCTTATGTTGTTGGTCATAAAACATAGTTATTTTAAAAATATTTTGGAATTCGATTCGATTTTGAAATTTTCTTACACACATCAATTTCTTTTAACAAAAATTTAAAAACAATTTAAAAAGTCGGTTTTGCCGACCGATGTATACCCTCAGCCAATGTTCGATTAATTTTTCTATGGAATGGGCCAATGTTGTTCACTGTGGATCGGACCAATATAAATATGATATTAATATTGCGACGTGCCATGTTTAGACCATTTTGGCTACTTCCTTCGCGTTATATGAGATATGTGATAATTTTAGAAAATGGTAAAATGTAGTTGATCTTCTAATTCAGATAAAAATATTGGTAACTTTTTTCGCAAATTGTGACAGACCAAAGTATTGAAAATTGTGACCCTTTGTGGGTGAGGGGTTCGCAAATATATAATATCTTCGCAACAGATATTGTGTTAGCAAAAATGTTTGTATGTGTGAAATTTGAAGAGATTTGAATGGTGATTTGTGGGGGAGGTACCAGAAGAAATTGTCTGATATCTACCATCTTTAAAACAGATCTTGTGTTGATGGAAATATTGAGATGTACCAAGTCTGAGATCGGATGAGCTTCATGGATATTCAAAATTTTGACCCTTTGTGGCGGAGGTACCACAAGGAGTGGACCGACATATCTCATCTTCAACACAGATCTTGTGTTAGTAGAAATAACGGGATGTGTGAAATATGAAGAGAACCGGATGCTTATTTCGGATTTTATAATCGTGTTGGTTATTCAAAACTTTGACCCTTTGTGGGGGAGGAACCAGAAGGAATGGTCCGATCTCTTCGATGGAAATATTGAGATGTGCCAACTCTGTCGGATGTTTATAAGCTATATGGGTATTCAATATTTTGACCCTTTTTTGGAGGGAGGGAATCAACAGGAGTGGACCAATATATTCCATTTCCACACCAGACCTTGGGTAAATTATAATATTGTGATGTATGCAATTTGAAGGCAATCGGACTCTTGCATCACATATTATAATTAAAATTTTGACTCTTTGGGGGGAGATACTTGATAGAGTGGACCGATATTGTCCATTTTCGCACCTGACGTAGCGTTGATGCAAATATTGGGATTTGCAAAGTTGGAGCAAAATCGGATCATTTTTTCTCCTACTCTGCATTAAACTATTTTTTTTTTAATTTCGGCCTTTTGGAAGATACCAGAAGAAGTGGACCGATACTGCCCATCTCCGAACTCAATCTAAATTTGATAATAATATCTACGGTCTAAACTAGTTATTTCAACCCTTTGTAGGGGGAAGTACTTGATGGAGTGGACCGATATTGTCCATTTTTGCACTTGACATAGCACTGATGCAAGTATTAGGATTTACAAAGTTGGAGCAAAATCGGATCGTCCTTTCTGTTTCTGTGCAGAAAACTATTTATTGAAAATTTCCACATTTTGTGGGGGAGGTACCAGAAGGAATGGACCGATATTTCACATCTCCGAACATAATTTAAATTAGATAATAATATTACGAGGCACCAAGTTTGGACCAAATCGGATAATCCCTTCGGGAGTTACAGTGCGCTCCAGCTACATAGACAGACAAACGGACTAACACCCCTAGATTGACTCCAAATGTCTCGAAACGTATTTGGACAAAGAGACCGAGGGTCTAAATTTGTTATTTCGATGAGACACGTTTTGGACGTATCAAGTGATATATACCCTCTCTAGCCATATGGCTGAGGGTATAAAAATCAGCTAACATCGGCCAGGCCGAATTTTTTATAGCCTCCACCATTTGTAAGGAACCTGAGAATATTTGAAAAATACCGCTAAAATAAGAACCGTTACATGCGGGCTACGTGAAGAGGTGGACCTGTATGAGCAATTCTCATAGGATGTAGTACCCATAAAGATCTTTAAATTCAAAATCTGAAAAATTCCGGTGAATAATGTCGCTAAAATCGTGAATATACCGAATATCAGGAGGTACCGTTATATAGGTGCTATACGGAGACGTGGACCTGTATACAAAAATGTTTGTCATAGGTTTTAAAACCCATTACAAACTTCAAATACCAAATTTGGAATGTTTCCGGTAAATAATGTCACTAAAATCATGAAAGTACCGAATATCGTGAGCTACCGTTATATGGGGGCTATACGAAGACGTGATCCTGGATACAAACATTTTTGGAATAGGTTGTAGTACCCATTAAGATCTTCCAATACGAAATTTGAAAAATGTTGCTGAAATCATCAAAATACAAAATAATTATAACAGACAGACGGACAGACAGACAGACAGGCATCGCTAAATCAATTGAGAATTTTACACTGAATATGAATACTCATGATAGAATACAGAATATATGTACTCATGATAGACCATGAGTATTTCAAGGAGTTATAAAACGGAATGACAAATCTAATATACCCTCCATAGAATGGTGGAGGGCATAAAAATTATCTGAAATTTCTACCAAATTTTCATGGATAATCAGCAGCATTCTACATTGCCAATCTGCTCTCATATTGGCACGTCCGAATTCGCCCTTCCCTCTTTATATCACATTTGCCAAACTTTACGCTCCCTTTCCCTTTGCTAATTAATTATATGCATATGTACCGTGGCATTTTACATTCACTACTACATATGCATTTTATTTCCCTGCTTTCCTGAAAATTCCATTTAATGCACTACTAACGTAAAGCTGTTTCATTTTTCTTCATTTCATCAATTAATCCGATCGAAAATAACAACTGAATAATGGCGAACGAAAAAAAAAACTGAAAATCCTTAAAGAAAATTCATTAAAGAAGAAAAAGAGACTTTTAATGCTGTTGTTTTTAAAGGATATCAAGATTTTTCTTTGGCGTTCAGCAAGAAAAACAACATTTACTTTGCATAAATCGATTACAGCAGCAAAGGAATGGAAAGGCAAAGGGTGGGTGAGGAAAAACTGTGCATGGCAAAGAAAAACAATAACATCGAGTGAAAAGGAAATGCAGTTACGAAAGGAAAACTTTAAAGCCATGGTAATGTCTGTCAATACCGCACACCAACAACGTCAGCAGAAAAAAAAAGAAAAACTGCCATCATCGTCATCATCATCATCGTCTTCACGGATGAATGCTGTTCATATCATTTTCAACGTTGTCATCATAAACTCAAACGAATGGTTGGCTGATGCGACTGAAAACGCTTTTTGTTTTAGGTTTTTGTTCTGTTAACGCTTCACAATCATCCACTGCAGCTGGTGGAAGACGATGCAGATGGCTAATGAAGCTTAACGTTTAAATGAAATTTTCACATTAGTAAAGTGTTTTGTGGATGTTGGGAACTGGGAATTGGGGGGTGCTAGAGGTTATATGCAAAATGTTCTTTTGACGAGGACGTCAATGCAACGAATTGAAAAGGGAAAGAAAACTCAAAAGATAGTGTTTGGCTACTTATCATGGCTATTACATTGTTCTTGGCATTGTAATTATTAAAGTCGAGAGGCTTCATATCAAAAAGGTCATATATTTCCTAAGCCTGTAACTATTTTTACGAGCGATATCTTAAAAATGCACAATTTTTTCCAGGAAGACTTTAACACAATTTTATTTTATTAAAAAACCAGTAGAGAAAGTTCTAAAGTCGGGCGGAGCCGACTTTATGAAACCTTACACCACTTTGCTAATTTTTTAGAGCTCCACATAACAATTAAAACATTTTATGGGAGAATTTAATCATACACGCTATGATTATAATTGTAATTTAAAGTTAAAATTTTTAAATTCGGACTTGCATTGCCCATTTGGTGCAAAATTAATTTAAAATCAGATAAAGATATATATGGGAGCTATATCCAAATCGGAACCGATCTCGATAAAATTTGCCAAAAATATTTCTGAGCTGTATTTGATATATTTCCCTGAATATCGTTGTTACGGAGTGCATATTACGGCTGTGGGTAACAAATACAACAAATCGGATGAACAATATATATGGGAGCTATAGCTATATCTGAACCGATCTTCACTAAATTTGGCGTACTAGGTTCTAGACTCAAT